AGAATTCCTCAGCCAGCTTTGCTGGCTGAGGAATTCTGGGAGTTGAAGTCCACAAGTCTTAAAGTTGCCAAGGTTGGACACCCCTGGTATAAAGTCTCTTGCCTCAGGCAGAAAGTTGGACTAGAACAGTGGTTCTCAACTTTTTCGTTGTCAAGGAGCCCCTTTGAATCCCTTTTGTGGCAGCAGATCCTCGAGATTTAAATCATAACATTTCTTCAAACCTTCCTGGCCTCCCTGTAATGATATGGCGGCCCTTCATAGGTCCATGAACCACAGGTTGAGAACCACTGGACTAGAAGACCTCCAAGGTCCTTTCTAGCATGAGGATTCTATGTTTGATGATTCTATAAGAAGGAAAAGAAGGTGTACCACAATCAGCCTTGCAAGAGTCTGTGATTATAAGGTTCCCCTTGCACATATGTGCTGGTCGTTTCCGGCTCTAGGGGGCGGTGATCATCTCTGTGACAAAGCTGAAGAGCCAGCGCTGTCCGAAGACGTCTCCATGATCATGTGACCATCATGACTAAACACCAAAGATGCATGGAACACTGTTACCTTTCCCCAAAGGGGTCCCTATTTTTCTACTTGCGTTTTTTACATGCTTTTGAACCGCTAGGTTGGCAGAAGCTGGGACAAGTAACAGGAGCTCACTCCATGACGTGGTGCTAGGGATTTGAACTGCCGAACGGCAGACCTTTCTGATCAACAAGCTCAGCCTCTTAGAGACTGAGACCCTTATTCTGTGATTATATCCAGCCTCAGTAAAATCAGTTTTAGCCTTTCTCTGGGGCTGATTTCATGGTGGGGGGGTCTACCCATCGAGCTCCCCATCAAGGATGTTGGTCTGTCCCCTTTCTCTCCAGGAGCGCCTACAGCAAGAGGAGCGCCAGCGCCAAGTGGAGCAGGAGCTGGACTACCTGGCGCCCTTCCTCATTCAAGTGGGAGGCCTTGAAAAGATGACCAAGTGGCTCGCTTTGCGCCTGAAAGAAGACTGCCTGAACGATTTCAAGCATCGTCTCGTGGACAAGGCCAACCTCATCCAAGCACGGTTTGAGAAGGTACCTGGGGGGGGGGTGTCATTGGACCTTGGGCTCTCCATGGCCCAAACCGACAGCGCCCCTTTTTTTGCCTCCTGGGCCTCAGGGAACCCTACTGGGTGAAGCAGTAAGACAGCGAGGGGGATCCCAGAACAGCTGATCATCGGGACAGCTGATCGTTGGGAGGGGAAAAAAAGAAATACCTTAAGGAGTGACCGGGTGAGGGAGAATGCAGTCAGCGATGTTGCGTATGCACAATAAGGACTGACTGGGCGGGGAGGGGAAGGGCAGACGGGCGGGCGGAGAGGAATGGGGCCAGCCAGGGGCACGATTTGCTGATTCTCCGAACTGGGCAGAATCATAACATCCGGTTCTATAGAACTGGTCTGAACTGGTAGAATCCCACCCCTGCACCTGACCCATCTCAAGACCCTCACCTGACATGACCCTCCCATCACAAGACCTGCTGAACACACCATCCCTTATAAGCAGAAGAAGACTGATACTAATATTCCCTAAATTCCACTGAAGATGTTACCTAACTCTGGGAACCAATCCACAAGCTCGGAGAACAAACCTCCACTCTCACACACACACTGTGTTCACTCCTATTGCCAGCGTTCCAGAAAAACCAACTCCAACCCCAAAACTCCGAGACAGCATTTTCTCACAATTCCATTTTATTTGAGTTGTTAAACTGGCACCTCTGGGAAAACCAGAATCTGAGGGTTCCGGGTTTCCCCTCAATAATTAAAAGTCAAAGACTCATCCCCTGCACCCCTCAGTCCATCACATGGCCCAATCACCCTCCGTTCCAACTTGAGACATTCCTCTAATCACTCCTCAACCAGGAATGCAGGATGACATGACCTTGACTGAAAAGGAGAATGCTATTATGTCTAACTACATCCACTCTAGGAAATCCCCCCCTCCCAATTTCCCAGGCACAGGAATGTGGCAGCACGGAAGCTTCTGGTGCTAATATGGCTTCCAAGGCTGTAACTTATATTAGCCCAGGCCACAGTGGGGCTGGCCTGTTCTGTGTTGGCCTACTGTGGAACCCAGTCATTGTCTGAATACTATCTGAACCAGAGCAGTCCATGAAACTGCAATATGGTTTATTTGCAAGGCTTGGTTTTGCCCGTTGCATGCTCACCTCCTTTGTCTTTCATTCATGGAGAAGATTGACCTGCATGTGAACCCAGCCATCTCTCTCTCTCTCTCTTTGCATAGGAAACTCAAGAACTCCAGAAGAAGCAGCAGTGGTACCAGCAGAACCAACTCAACATGACCTTAGAGGATGAAGACGCCTACCTGAACTACTGCTCAGAGGCCATGTTTCGCATCCGCATTTTGGAGCTCCGACTCAGCAGGTATTGTGTGACAAAAGTAAAATTCTGGATTGTTGAAACATGCAGTTCCTCTCTACCCTTGTTGCTTTTTTAGAGAGACCACACTAGACTAGACTAAAGTAGATTAAATGTAACTAGATTAATCATTTGCAAACTCTAGTACATTTAGTGCGAAGAATAGCACCACATTTTCACTAAAAAGAAGTCTGCAATAAGGACATCCATTTAGTTCAGTGTTTCTTAATCTAGGCAACTTTGAAGTTGTGTGGACTTCAATTCCCAGAATTCCCTAGCTAGCCATGCTGACTGGGGAATTCTGGGAGTTGAAGTCCACATATGTTCAAAACATTAAGGTTGAGAAACACTGATCTAGTTTCACAGAATCATACAGCCAGAAGGATTGCTGAAGGTCCTCTAGATCAAAGGAAAGGCTAAGTCAGTGTTCTTCGACCTTGACCACTTGAAGATGTGTGTCAGATTTCCAAGTAATGAAATCCATGTTAAAAGAAAAATAACAAAGTCCATCTTCAAAAAGATTTCTTTTATTTGGGAAAGTATCAAATTGGCAGTCCATGGTAATTCCAGATCTGACCCAACCCGGAATTACCCCACAATATTAGAAGTTAGAAACATCCCCAAAAGTCACATTCTCCAATAGAAGTAATACAACGTTGCTTGATGTCATAAATCTCCACCTCAAGGGGCCCTAAGCACGGACAGCTCATTTCCCACGGGAAGAAGAATCATCTAGCCAAAATAACTCCCTTTATCTCCACTCCTCCCCCCTTAGGAATGTATCAAGCCCGAAACCCTTCCCCCCATTACTGCCACAGAGAAAATAAGAAAAAATATATATACTAAGACAAACTAAAATGGCTACACTTATGTCAAATTCAGGCTTGACAATGTGTGGATTTCAACTCCCAGAATTGCACATGGTCCACATATCTTCAAGACCTCAAGGTTGAGAAACACTGATCTAGTTTCACAGAATCAAAGGAAAGTCTAAGTCAGTGTTCTTCAACCTTGACCACTTGAAGATGTGTGGATTTCGACTCCCAGAATTGCACATGGTCATACATAGAAGTGGGCTGGGAACATCTGGGACATACAAAACATTTCCCCTTGTCCCAGGCTGTGCTCACACAAGCTGCTAGACTAGACTAAAATGGCATTGGGTAACTGATAACTTAGCTTATGGATGGTTTCAGATCATGTGAGCCAAGCCAACTTATTAAGTATAATAAGATTTATTTTATTTTAGATGTGTGTGGTTGCTTATCTTAAACACAACTTTGGGTGGCTCACAACACTAATAAAAAAACCATAAACCACCAACCATAATTTGGTTTGATTCTTAATCGTATTGTACTGATCTTTACCCCAAATCTGCATTTACCAAGAAATGAATTAGTCTGTTTTTTTGTTTAGCTACCGAGATATTTGACCATCACATCTACTGCATGTCTAATATTTAAGATTTTCTTAAAGAATAAACCCAATCAATTTGCTGATTTGTTCCCTGGAGGACTATTTTAGAAAAAAGGTCTATTTAAGGATAGAAATAATGATATTGACAACAAGGGGTATTTCATACATAGTACATAGCTAGACGCTATGCTTATGATTTGTAAGCCATTAGATATGGCTTACATCATGAAAAAAAACCCAGTCAGCATAAGTGATAACATACAATTAGTGGAATTGGGACAGTAATTGCTTGTCTTTCTTCATCAGGCATAAAGAGAGAGCACCGCTGAAATATATAGCATTAGAAGAGAAACTTTCCAAAGATCCTCGTCTCTCTGAATATCTCAGATTTTATGTTTAATTTTTCTGTGAGTCATTTTGGGGAAGTGCTCCTCAAAGGCCAGATGAAGTTAATGAAACTTCCGAACAGCTGTGAAAAACATTTTATTTTTCTCAAGCCACTTTCTTCCTCCCCATAAATTTTTGCAACTTTCTGGTTAAGAAAGCATCAAGGAAAAGAAACTTTAATTCTTTGAATCTCTCAATGGAGCAATACTTTAAAAACCACTGGGTTTTGATAGCTAAATATATGGGTGAAAGATAGTAAGATAGTCTTCTTCTTCTTCTTCTTCTTCTTCTTCTTCTTCTTCTTCTTCTTCTTCTTCTTCTTCTTCTTCTTCTTCTTCTTCTTCTTCTTCTTCT